AGCAACGTCCGACGATGGAGAAAAACTGCGTGGGCGGAGGAAAGGAACGAGCCAGCTTAATCCTCGCACGCACTTACGCAAGGAACGTGGCGTGAAAACCGCTCGCGATGGGCTGGATCAGTCCTCCTCCCGGATATAATGCTCGTGAAATGGTCGCTTTAGTATGATATACGTATCACTTACGCCGGGGCGATAATGAAAAGATTTGCTGGGCTCTTTACGACTTCCGTGGCCGCTAACGGGGCCTCTGTCTCGCTTCTTTCCTCCGCCGTTCGCCCTTTTCGCTCGCGCTATCGCTTTCGTTGCACTTGGTACACTTCCCTGACTCTTATTAATTTTTCATTAGCCTCTCATCCGACGAAATTGACCCTCCCCTTTGACTCGGTGAAAGAGACCCGAACTAAGACTTCCGACCGCATCAAAAGAAAATTGATATTCCCTGTTGTTACGTCGCACAAAGGAGATTGTGTTTTCTCTTTCGTCCGCATATCGATGAGCCACCCCGGGTTCCGGACGGAATTTAGCAACCCGCTGCACCGCCAAATTCGATATTCGAAATTCGTCGTCCATTTTTCTTCGTTACAGACCGTTTTTATACAGGGTCAACAATGTTAGGGGTATAAATCTATTTTCATATTGTGGAGGAATGTTAGGATAGTTTTAAGGCGGAAGCAATCAGATTGTTAGTGTCTATGAATATTTAATTAAAATCACTATTGTAACTTCGTAGTCTCCTTTCACGTATTTAGAGTGGATAGAGATCAATGTATCTCCCGTGTAAGTTGCACGTAATTACGCTCCTTTTATTCACTTTCTCATAAAGGGTGCTTAAGTAAATTTCCAACGATAGATAACGCGTTACGATCGATTTAATGCGAGGAGGCTAGGAGAGTCCAGGTAACGTCCTCCACGGTCTTCTATTCGCGCTTATCTGTTGGTCTATTTCTCGGTCGCGACGCGCGTAATTTCTCGTCGGTGCTCGACAAATCCGGGACGACAAATCTCGGGCCTCGAGACGCTTTGGAAATCGCGTGGAGTAAGCGTGTCGCATATCAGCCGGCAGTTAGGCGGATGAATGACGCTGGGAAAACAGCGTGCACTCTGGCGCGCGCCATTATTTCCGCGCGTACGCTAAATCATACTTAAAGCTCCGTTCCCGTGGAACTCGTCCCTCCCGACCTTCCACTCTATTTCCAACGGTGGCTTTTACTCTCGAGACCGTGGGCCCCCGGTAACGAGACGCTGCATCGAGCCCAGGAAAAATTGGATTCCTGAAATTTCGAGGGCGGAATTTTTTAATACGCGCCTAACCGTGAACCGTCGCGTCTCCCGGTCGAGACTTCGCCTCGAGACACTTCAAAGGGCACGAGATTCCCGTTGGACGAGAAGAAGACAGCCCTGGCGCGGGCTCCGCGTGATTTAAGAAGCTTGACTCCGCGAGTCTGCACGAAAAATGACGCGTAAAAAAATATTTGTATATTGAAATGTTAAAGAATATGTGAACGAACGAATAACTAAATATTGACGTATGGGATCGCCGAGCTCGAGCGGTTGAGCGGTAAGTGACCCGGCCAGAGTCAAATTCGCGGCGACAAATAAACGATTTGTCGTTTCGGAGGACGGTGCGCGTCGCGACCCGTCGCGAATTTATCAAACGCGAGAGCCACCCTCTGACAAGCGGCATAACGATGCCCGCAAACATCATTTGGCACTCTCGCCCACGCGAATTCTCCGGGCGAGCGCGCGGCTAGTATCGGCACCGCGGTATCGTCGAAAACCGTGAGAACGAGTACGCGTCGCGACGCCTCGCGTCAACCCGTGGAAGGGTCGATAGCTGGAGCGCGAAAATTCCGGCGTTAAAAGCTCGTCGCGGCCGGCTAATATCTGTCTCGGCCGGTTTAAACGCGTCGCGGGACGCCGACATTTTTCTTCGGTCAATTTAAACGCTGTCTACGAGTCGACCGTGAAAGCCTCCGCGCCTCTTTTTTCCCCCGGTCGAATTTTACTTTCTTTTTTTTTTCTCCTGCGGATTGTATTTATCGCGCGAGCCGCGAACGATACCCGCGACGCTCGAATAAATTCGCCGCGCCTCGAAGCGAGTCGGGGCGGCGGACGGAAATAAATGCTCGCGCGAGAGCTGGCGTGACGCTCGAACACCTCCGTTTTGCTCTTGCACACCGGGGTCCGCGTTACGGATTTCTCGAGCGGTCCTCGATGGGGGTTAAAGGTCCCGACCGATGGACGAGCGACTCGATTTCTGGTCGCCGCGACCGCAGCTACCCCGGAAACGAGTTCGACCGCGCGGACCACGCGCTTTAATCAATTCCGTCCGTGCGGTGCTCGCGTTCTGTTGACGGAATTTGAATCGCGATCGCTGTTGCGGCCGGAGAAGTTTATTTCCCGTATTTATTTATTCAAATGAACACGGGGACGGTGTAATTGGGTAGATTGCTACTAGAAAGGCACCGCTAGAATTATTTTATGCGTTGCGCCAGGAAGGATCGATTTTTAGTCAATTTTATGATCACATCTAAGAAATTAAATATTATTTTATCTGTCAAGCGTCTATTTGCATTCGTATATTCTGTAGCGGCTCTTAGCACCATGTGCGAATCGAGCTCGCCAGTAAAGTGTACAGGGGCGTATTTAAACGCTAAAAGTTAATTAATTTCTAAGATTTCAGAGTCGAAATTAAATTGTGCTGCTCGAATCGAACGAAACTCGCGTTCGAAAGGACGCAGAGTTTGATTCGACGCGTAAAAATAAATCAAGCGGGAGATTAAATTCCATCGATCGTGTTCTTCGATTCGCCACGCGATATTTGTCTTTGAGTAACGGGACGCGCGATTATTCCTGGCGGAATCGAAGTATATTCCGTCGGTTTCCCGGGGCCGTTCTCACGGCGTCGCGTCGATGGGCATCGAAACGATCGATCGGTTTCTCCTGAATCATGCGGGTGTCTGGCGCGAGCCACGCGGAATATTTCACCGCGGACGTACGCTAGGACGAACGAAAGAGCTCCACTTAGGTGGGGGGTAATATACGTCGCCGAGGGCGGTAACTGTCCCCGTATATTATGTCCCGCGTGTCCGCGGGGACATACATTCCAGCCGGCTGTATCCACGGTAAACAATGTTCCGAGAGCCGTGCCTAAACGATTCCTCGTGTCTGCAGTTATTTTGGCAATTAATCGCTGCCGCTGCCTCCCCCGCTCGCTGAAATATCGCGTTTCTTCCCCGCGAGCGAGTTTTTCGTTCCCTTTTGCTCGACGCTGTTCCCTCGTTTCCCGTCCTCCTCCCACGAACCTCTTCTTCTCGACGAAGGGCGAGTCCTACGCGGGAGCACGTACCTTCCAACTTTATTCGTTGTCCGTCTTCCTCGCGAATTTTCTTCCAACGTCGACGTTCCGTGGACGGATCGCGATCCTCCCAACTCGTCACCGCCCCCTCGTTTCTCCTCGTTCTCTCCATTCAACGAACTCCACGGCGGTTCGGAAATTTTTTGTCAACCAAGTTTAATACACGATTCGGGAGAATTTTGTTTTACAGTATTTTAATAGTATTAAAAGGTTATCGAACTTTTTCTGTAGTTGTAATAATTCAGAGATCAACGTTTCCAAACCTAATATGTAAAACTGTAGTTTTAACTTCTCGTTTTACCATGTATACCTACGCGAGCACTCGTATTCCGAGAGTCTCTTTCCGCGAAGCGTCGTTTTTTCCTGTTAACTCGCCAAGCTTCATTTCTTCCATATTAAAGGAGAATTAAACAGAGCCCGGTGACGACGTAGTCGCGACGCATATGAAAAATCACCGTCTGACTCCTCGCGAGGAAAGGATATTACGATTGTTGCGTTTTTCCTGTTGGAATCGTAAATCTTCCGTCGCTCCCAACTTCTCCGGGGGCTCGCGAGTCCCGGCCTGTCTCGTTTACTGCTGGAATTTTCTCGAACCGATAAGGGGGTGCACGTATCCAGTGCGTTCTCGTGTTATTTCGCAGTTCGAGTTCATTCCAGAGAAGTTTCACTCTACAGCGCACGAGTATCTTTATATAGATACATATAGAATCTCCAAATACATAAAATTAAAACCTCGAACGAGGGTTGAAACCTTCTATTTTTGGACAAAATTGTCAGAAGACAATCCATACCATTTTTATAGCAACTGAAGATTGGAAATGAATTAATCGAACGGGTATTATTATTGTATTAAAAACAGTAACGTTGAAGCCATTTTCCCAAAATGAGAATAACCCCATTTTTATCATTCAGAATTACATCTACAAAGAATACGGTAAATCGACGAAGATGATAAAGCAAAGCTAATGGATGCAAATATAGGTAAATCGCGATTGTTTAAAACGCAATATAAAATGCAGGAGGACCTTCCCACCGATCGGTATTAAAAATATCGAATAATTCGTGGGGTTGCGATCAATCTTACTTGAGAGGTTGGCCGCCTCCTCGGGCAGCCGTCGCCCAATAAAACGATACCCGCGATAAACCTTTCGAAGCCAATTAGAGGCTAATTGATTTTAACTGTAAATCTATGAGCCCCGTCCTGGGTGCCACGGGATTGCGGTTAAGACGGTGCCGGGGACTTCTGCCAAGCAGTTGTTCCCGATAAATTTACGATGACTAAACTCCCGGTTCTTCGCGCTCCTCGTTCGTTTTCTTCTGTTTCTCGGCGTTAACGACTCTCGATCGCACCATCTGTCCCACCGCGATGCCTTTTGTCTCTCCCGAAAGTCCTGGCCCTCCAACCCCCCGCGGCGTTTCCGTATCGACGTCGAACTTATTATTAAACGATCCTCGAATTCTCTCAACCTTATCACCGAGACGTTAGCGGAAGAATAAACGCGGGTAATTTAAGTTATCGCGTCCATAGCAGAGGCAACTTAAAAATTATTAGACACTAAGGTAAATACACGTAAGATACACAGACTCTGTGTACACGTACGAGTTTGAATAAGATATTCGATGCAGAAGCGTACGGATGCCAGTTGTTTTATTGTTGAGAACAGTGCATAGTGTACAGGTTTTTACTATCTAGGTCTCGTAAAGCAGTTATTTCTCCTTGACCGTGTCTGGAAGCATCGCCCACGGGCTCACGGGATGGGAAGTTTTCGCGAGCCATGATTCTTTCGGTGCCCTTTAACTGCAAACGAAAAACAGACTTTGCATAGAACACGGTTGTCGTTTCGGAATAAAAGATTTTACGATACTCACTGCATCCCAGATACTGGATGCAGACGTGTCCCACGGGGCAGTCGGCGTCCTTTTTGCAGGTCTTATCCGCTTCCCGTTTGCGTCTGCTGTCCGGGATGTTCAAGGTGACGACTTCCGTTTCGTCCTGGCGTTTCGGGGGGAAATTATTCGTCGCGAATTCGGCTCGATCTCGCATAATTATTTACAGTAAACTCCTCCCCCATTTAATCTTGTTATCAAAAGCTTGGATACGAAGACTTGCAAGTTCAGAGTCTATTAAACCCTCGTTGTATGACTTGACTTTAATAGATAAGACTCGAGAGTAAGTAGTACGAACTTGTAACAAGTCAGACTCGTAATTGTACGGTAAATTAACAAATTTTTACGGACTCTAAAGGTCGTTTGCGGTGTGTTTTAACCCAAAGTTTGTACTCACCGACTCTCCACTGGGATCGTCTAATCGGATGACGTGATACTCTGGTTCGTCCTGCGGACGAAGGACCAAGGACGATTAGAACGCGATCGCGATTTACCAGGAACGATTGAACAATGCGTTTGTGGGGTAAGGCAAGCTCGTATTTCTGTACCTTGTCGTCCTTGATGATGCACCTGGTGGCCGAAACGGCGCACACAAACAGCAGAACGAGAAACAGTCGACTCATCTTCGAAGCTATCCTCGGTCGGACACTCGCGAACCCTAGCAGTCCCCGGTTTTTATACGAGGGAAACGCGACGTTATCTTTATCGTAAACCTATATTCATTAGCGTTAGAAAAATACAACTCCCGATCGTGTCGTTGATTAGGCCGGACTTCTTCGTCGCGTTACGCTTTAATGGCGTTCGTTAACGAGTGGTCGGCGGGAATCTCCGCGCGTCCAACCGGACTTTTTTTGTTTTTTTTTTAAGGGAAATGAGTTCGAAACACGACGGTGGAAGGAAGATACCAGATATCGTAAACCGCTGTCGGGCGAGCCGGTCTCGGTCAGTTCATTTTCGCGTGCAGTCTTTATCTAAATTGGAAACATAGAATTGGCCTGTAAAACGTCTCGTGGACTGCGACGACCAGCAATCGCGTACCACGGTTTACGAGCTGTTGTCAGTGGTGATGGGATCAAATCCAATACGGCGACTAGCGCTACAAAATCCACCGAACGATCATTTTCGGATCCCATAATGTTACGACGGACGGTAGTTTATCTCTCGTTGCAATTTACAATTCGTTCCGGAGGAACTGGAAACGGAAGGCAAGAGTTGTCCAACGCTGTGTTTTTTTCTCGCCGTCCATACGTTTCCGTAGTTAAAGGCGTTAATTATCGTGCATCCATTAGCCAGCGTGCTCGTTGCAGGTGCACCGATAACGCCACGCACTTAATTAAAAAGATCTTCGAGCGTAGCATCGGGTACCTAATGTCATTTTTAAGCTCGCCTAATGGCCCTCGCGGCGATTAAAAGGCGAACGCGACGAGGTATTAAAAAAATTGGTAATGCCTCAAGTCGGCCAAGGATGTCGTTCGCGGTGGAAACTGCTCCAGTAACTTGGAATTGGATAGTTAAAACTCCATCAACTAAATGAGTTGCTAAATTTGGAAAATATAATTTCAGCGTTTGTTAGACGTTTGCTTCGGGATCGTTACTCGAGTTTGACTCGTCAAAAATCAACACTAAAACGGAGGGCTTCGTAGAATTTCTAGCACGAAACGCTCGCTGATAGACCTTTTCCCAGCAAAATTTTATTCGTCTACCATCAGGGGGTGGCATTTTCGAGTATTTTAACGGGAAGGTTGACTCGTTAAAGCGGTTGTCCGGCGAGAAAGAGGCTCCGGTTCGAGTCGGCGTGGATCAGAAAATCGTTAAACGGTCGTTTTTCTTTTTACGCCTCCGGGAAACGGCTGCTTCCCTAAAAGGTCCCGTCTCGTCTCCCCATTTTCATATCGTCCGCCGTATTTCAGTGGAATATAAAAATTGCTCGGTTGTATTACGTGGGCCGGGGCGCGCGTTTCGCGTCACGCTTAACAGCCGGATGTCTCCTGCGCGAAATTAATTATGCACGAGAGGCGTTTCGCGGCATTTTAGCGGGTACGTAATAGTAATAGTAATAGTCCCGGTATTGGGAAACTGGATGGTCCATTCTGGAGGGGACACCGGTTGAAACCGCGCGACCGTCGACCGTTTGCGTAGACGTCCAAGTTCCGGAGGACTCGAAACTAGCGGTCCTTCGACGGACACTCGACCGGAGGTCCTTTGTTCGCTTGATTACCGAACACCCTGGAAACCAGTCATTAGCTTGGCAAACAGAGAAGTTCGCCACCGCGGGCGCGACCCGCGAACTTCGCAGAGACGACTATCCGCGATGCGTTGTCTCTTCGAATAATTCAGAGATATTAATTTCCACCCACGACTATGGATCTCTGCACGAATTGTTTACCAAAAAGAGAAGAGAAATTGTCCTTATGATGAAACACACTTGGAGTGTCACGAGTTTGACGAGCGTTTGTATATTTGCTTCCACTCGTTCGAAACAGTGTCGAGCGTGGTTTACAACTCGATGCGCCTCGGTTTATTTGATCCTTCGGCGCGGGGGAGGGGAAAAATTGTATTTCGACAGAACCGTGCGTTTCGGTTGTCATCGAGGCAGACGTTGCGCGAGAGGAGTGGGTTGCCCTTTGAAGCGGAACGGAGCCCGGAGGGCCAGTATTTAAAGCAACAAGCAGAAACGCGATTAGACACAATTCCACTGCGGTGGCGCGCGAATCTAAAAGCGTCGTAAGGTCGACGAGAGACTTGGACAAACACGCGCGGAGGCGCGCTAATCCCGCGAAGAAAAGGAACACGTCTCGTGGAAACGGTCCACGGAACAGGTCAAACGACGCTTGGCGATATACACCTCGTAGCCGCGGAGAATAAATGGTCGGGAAGGCGTCGAATTCGAGATCGTCGGTCGCTTATATTTAGAGCGTGACTGTGCCCCGCGTTCTTTCTCGTTTTTATAATTCGACGAAAAAAAAAGCAGCACCGAGTTTGGGCAAACGACGATTTCGGCTCGTTGTTCCGTTCCGTTCTCGTCGATCGACGTGAATGTAAATTTACCGAAACGCGTACGGTCGGTCTCCAACAGTTTCGGAAGCGTCGCCCCCTCGAAAAGGAAATTCGTCGCCGGTACGCGAGCGCGGCGTCGGCGTCGGTATTAATATAATATTTCGCGCGTGACGCGAACTTTATTCGCTGCGGTGTCCATTCAACGACCGACCGAATCAAATAGCGGTTCGCAATATCGATTCTCGAGGTAATCCGGTTCGCCTGGGATTATAAGTTAAAATTTCACAGACTGATTACGAGCGGCGGAAGGCACGAAATTATTTAATATCGATACGCGGCGAAAAGGGTAGAGAGCGGTTCGAGGGGCGAGGGGGGGGGGGGCGAGAAGGGAGGGGGAGGAAAGAGAGACTATTATTGATATTGATTTCGTTGGGAAGCGTGTGCGAGCCGGCACGATTCGAATCGTGGGAAAGCAGCTTAATTGGGACGATTATCTCCCCAGTCAAAGAGATAGCGACCAGCATTTCATGATGTACTTACGTAACGATTAAACCGCGTACATAGGCCACGAGGATACGTTCGAGGCACATCGTTAACGATGAAACTAATGCGGGACGGAGATTGGGTGGTGTGGTCGATAGGATTCCCTCATCACGTTTGGAGCGGCGTGGCCTCGTGCGCGCCTCCCATCTACGTGCGATATCTCCTCGCTTTAACAGCCGCCCGTCGTCTTGACTTACGATTTATCGATACATTGTATTAAAAAGAACGCGGTAATTGTCTTTAACGTCTATTACGTTATTAAATCGATTAACGCTGCCCCGGGGGCCCGGGGCTTTTCCGGATTCCTGGCGGCCGACCGGGTAATTGATACCATTAAACTTTTTTTCCCTTCCTCCTCCCCCTCCTCTCGCTTCGAGCGTGCACGGTAACGTCGTCTTTCCGGTTGATCAACGCGATCCTCGAGCACCGTTACGTATTCCTCTTTTTTGCGCCGTTTTCAACAGGTCGGCAAACTTGTTTCGCAACAGCGTGAAAACAAATGACGCGGATAACATCGGTGTTAATTGTCCGTGGTGGAATCGAAGTTCCTCGAAAGACGATCGAACGTTCATTTTTCCACTTTTTAGGGAGACGAAACCGTCAAACACTTTAACCCTCGAGTGGACTCATCCACTTAACGTTCTTTTCTATCAAATTGGTAAATGGAAAACAATTTTCCACTCAAGGGTTAATATAAGATCGCCAAAGACTAGACCGACAAATTGTACCCTTTCTGACGCAGTACTCTAAATTTTCGCCCGTAACATTTGTTATTTATTACTCATTTTTACGGCATAGTCTCGATCCAAGGCACAAATTTTAAAGGGTGGTCCAGAATATGCGAAACAGGGCACGTGCAGGCCATCTTACAGTCAGTTACGATCGCAAAGTAAGCGGTGCTGGTTTATGATACATCATACGTGTACGAAACCGTGACGAAATCACGCTAGGAAAGAAACGATGCTTTCGTTGCATCGAAGTCAGCCGTTCGTGGGTCACAAAACCTGACAGTAAACCCTTTCTATAAATCCGCGCTGCAATATCGGCTTCCAGGACACGGAGAACGCGAAGTTGCAAGATTTACAGCATCGAATACTACGGGACCAACGATGTTCGACGCGGGGGGTTGTTGACAGGGCGCTTCTTTCGCCTCGAGGATACTAATCGAAGTACATACGTCTTCCTCCATCGACGTTGGTTTCCGAAAACAAGCCGCCGCCACCCTCTCGTTCGGCCAGATATAGACTAATTTCGACAAGCGTCCCTCGCGACGTCTCCGGGGAGCAATGAGAGGGCCCGAACGAAAGCGTTCGTCGGCGCCATGGCATTGAATCCTGTCCATTTGTTCCACCGGTCTGCAGAGACGCGCCAGGATACTTCTAGTTCCCTTAAACGGCGCCAGGGTTTAAATCCCCGTAAATCCTCGACGCCTTTGAACGCGCGCAAAACTATCGGTTCGTTGAATCGCGAGATGAAATCGGTATTTCGAATCGGTGCGACTCTGCTTTGATAAAAATTGATCGCGTTGTAGCGTCAAGTTAGGCCAGGTGCAGGGAACGCGAGTTTCATCGGCACAAAGTGGCTCGACTTTCGGTTTCGTGACCGTCAAAACGTTGAACGGGGTACACGGCGCCGTTGTCATCGTCGCGAATTCCCGTAGATCACGTGCACAACGTACCGCGGGCCACGGCGGAGCACTCGAAGGCACCATAAATATACGGTGAACGCCATAGCCGGTGCGCCGTGGCGCTCGTGACTTAATCTGCAAGGGTATCTAGGCCGTGTACGGCCGTGTTACGCTCTTCGTGGATTTATGGCCCGATTCTGGTATCCCCGTATTTTTTTAGATCTTCGTTGCGATGCCGCCGGCTGCGTAATATCCGCGATGCACCGATGCTCGCGTAATTGCTCGCCCCCCGCTTCCTTTTGTTTGTCGATTTCTCGCGAAACGTTTCCGGTTAACGATACGAAACAAATAAACAACAACGGACGAGGCAATCGCCGGAATGGACGCAGTTTCAACGAAATTTCGGGGATCGACGGTGTTGATAATCGACCACGGTCCACGGAGAAAATATCACGCGAAAAGGAAAGCG